CTTAACGCGTTTGCAGCTTGTTGCTATAGCCGATGTATATATATACACTTTTGGAGTCTGCCAATGGAGGAGAGCTTTCATTGTTGTTATTCTATCTGATGCCACCCGCTTGTAATTACGTAAGGAGGCAAGTTTCCGCGCAGCATGCGCTTTCAATTTCCGCATTCCGAAATTGTTTGCCAAAATCAAATTCAAATTACAAAACGATTTTCACTTCTGCCACTGGCATTTCAGTCTGTGTGTCTATTTGAGAGCCGATTTCTTCTACACCTGACTTCATCATTGATTTTGGCATAGACATCCGGCGGATGTGTTTGTCTCAGATTTCCTTTAGAAAGTGACTGTGGCTTTGATGCTTAAAATTATTGCCAAATTCTGTTTCATGACAGTTTAAAGCCATGACTGCTGGGCACAAAATGCGGTCTCTACTTTGGATTGCAATCGAATTAGCGCCGCTGACTTGTCGCTTTGTCGGCTCTGATCGCATTTTGTGCGAAACACGCATGACAAACTGCAATGCCAATAGATGGCGTTTTGTTGGTACACAGAGAGAAATAAAGTTATAGGTGTAATATTATAATAGTAGAAGAGAAACCAAATCAGTTTAATTTCAATTTTAATTATAATGAAGAAAATATGATTAATGGCAAACTTATGGCCTTACTTAGTAACCTTTTTCTGCAAGTGTAAATGCAAGGCTAATGCCGGGATTTGTCTGCCCATATGCGATGGAGATAGGCTGCAGTTGGCCACGGACTCCGCTGGGTGTAAATAGTATATGGTAGCATGCACTCTGATTCCTGGCCATAGACACTGAATTTTTGGGCGAGGGCATTGTTTGGTCCACGGCCTGGGTTAAGCGGGTTTGATTTGGTTGGGCCGCCACTAAGCCAACTGATTTGAATGGTGCAGCATGTGTGCAGCACGTATGAATTTGGCTTGCAAGGAGAGCAATTGGCAATTCAAAATATTGGCATTTGAATTTTAAGCGAAACTCTTGGCTCTGCCGAGACTCAGCAGCATTAAATCAAAGCTTAATTGATTGGTGATTGGGTTTGCCGTTTTTCACACTCGGACAAGAAATGCGAAATAAAAACGTATGTCCGAAGATAATCTTGAAAAAAATCGAGAAAATATGTGCTGCTCTTAAATTGGTCATTCTGTTGTGTTTTATTTTCAAATAATAAATTAAAAGACTCTTGGATTTGGGACACTGAAATACGTTTTATTTTTCTCAATACTTAAACTTTAAAACTATAAATATTTATATTTTATCTAGAGTGTCTTACTTTGGGTAGAAACTTTCAGGGATTAAAGCAAAACTTTAAAATTGAATAAAATGACAGAATGACTGGTCAAAAGCGGCCTTAACCCTTAACCTTTGTGCAGCCTCTGGCCTTTATATTTTCCAGCTAAGCAGTCAGCAGAAACTGCTCATAATTTGCTTGTTTTTTTTGCACTTGAATTAGGACATGTGAATGTGTGTGTTCACGTGTGTGTGTGCGTGTGTTATTTTGAGCCATGGCCTTGCATTTGCGTCACTCGAAAAGTCGTTTGCTTGGACTGTGCAAACAAAATGAGCGAGCAGCGAAGACTAGTAAATGCATTAATGGATGCCAGCACCCAAAAGACCCAACAGCACCACCTGGACCACCTGCTCTTTCGCCGCTTTATCTCCTCAGCACGTGTGAGTGGGCCAGGTGCTCTTGACATTGCCCCGAGTGAAAGGAGGCTTCAGTGTTTACGCTGCGACATGGCGAATGCTTCAGCCTGGAGAGTTCTCGTCCTCGTGCCCGTCGTCTTTGATTGCGTTCTCGTCTCGCTGGGATCATACATATATATATATGGTCGTATGTACTATATAGTAAGACTCGTCTTGGGCTCGTTAAGTGTCGCCTCCTTATGGCATTTCATGCTATTTTAAATGCATTTGAATAAATAAACACTCGCACGGTCGTAAAATGTTTATTACGTGGGCAAATGTTTGTGTCTGGCCTCATTAGGAATGGAAGCCCAGAGGCGGGGGCACAATGCCAGAATGCAGCAACTACAGTTCGCACTTAATGCATTTTTAATTTAAAGCCCAGCACCGTAACGCACATCCCTGAGACGTTAAAATTGCATTGAAATTGCTTTAATTGAGTGGATTTGCATGCCAAATTCGAGATGCAAACACAAAACCGATTCGATGTGTCCCCGAAGGCGATTCAATGGTTGCTTTTGAAGTGATTTAACCTCAAGATGTGGCCAGCATTCGGTGGTACACATTTTTTCCCTTTCCCCGAGACTGAGAAACTGAGTTTTAATTGATTGCCCATCAATTATGCACATTGCGCGGCGCACGTGTCGTATGCGTGATATTTCAACGGTCTTTGATTAACTCTCACTGCTGCAAATATTTGCCAAAGCAAATCTGTTTAAATGTTCGTCAACTCCCTCTCGAAAGAGTAACGAAACTATTATATTTGCATACGAATCGGAGACTGTCAAATGCTGAGCAAACAACATGGCCAAGATTCATGTATCTCAACTTTGGCTTGACACTTTAAGTGGAAGTTATGCAAATAAATAAATGTAGATTGACTTGACAGACAGACAGAACGATATATATGTTGTCTATATAGATAGAAGGACACATGCGGAGCGGGATGACAGTTATATATGGAGAGAGGGCAAACATACAATGCTAATTAAACGATGTGTGCAAAGTAACTTATTGACAAATGCCTCGAGATACCGGATTCCCTTTAGAAAGCGTCTGTGCCAACCCGCTGGGCCGCATAATTATAATGAATCCTTTTTGTCAGCCAACTTAACCCTAATTTGCGCCAGCTCGCATTATCCTTTATCCCTGGGTGTAAACACATTGCGTTTGCCATTTGCCATTGTATTCCTCATGCAGGTGCGAAAACGGTTAAGAGTCGCCTCATGCAAAAAGTCACCGCCTGCTACGTCTGCTAATTAAGCTCCAAAATGCCAAATGCAAAATGCAGAATGCCGAGGAAAGGAGGTGAAAAACTCAACTATTTCTGCATTGTTGCTGCGACTTTTGTGCATGAAACCGAAGCAGATGCTGCCTCAGCCTGAGATTCATCCTCATCTCCATCCCCATCCTCATTTCGGGTTCGTTTTTTTTTTGCCCAGCTGATGCGGGCAGCTCGCGAGTTGTGAAAGCTTCAGCCCTGACCACATTTTAATTGGGCTAAGCACACGCTGCATGTGCTGCATGTGTGACGTGCTATTAGTGAAACTTTTAAATGAGTTAGTTAAGTAAAGCGGGTTACGTTATTATGAGTTTTTGGCTTGGACATTACAAAAGCTTGTCAGCTCTGCCTGAGCTGGGGCTTCTCCTCTCCTTTTCCATTCTTCGCCTCGAACAATATGTATGAGGCAGGGTCCATGTACCATGGACTAAAAAAAGGATATTTGGTAGTGGGGTTTGGGTGGATTATGCACACCTTGAAGTTTTATGGGTTCTAGTAAAATAGAGATAATGCTTTGCTAAGCAATAAAAGTTGTGGTGAATATCTTTAAAAGGGTAATATTTATTATCTCTCTCATTTTAATTTCCCAACACAAAACCAACCTCATTACTTTACTTGTATTTAATTCGATTGAAAAAGTAAACATACCTATAATTTCATTATAATATTTTGTTTTCTAACATATCGTTTGAATAATGTTAAACTAAAAGTAAGCCTCTTAAATACAATATAAACAATCTGATTATTTTTGCCATAACATTTGGTGGCAAAAATCGTTTGCTAATTATGCTAAAGTCAAATAATATTTTCACGCATATTTAGTTGCCTTGTAAATGGTTTTTCCGCTACGAAAAAATACCAATTGTCAGCCAAATTTAATGCAGCATTTTCTATGGCCAAAGCAAATTCGATATTTTATTGGGGAAAAAATAATTCTGGTAATTATTGGTCGAAAGTGGGCGCCATCAATTTTCAATTAGTCGCATGCAATAATTTCGAACACATTTCTTGAAAGGCAAAAACGAAGCGGATTGCCGTTGTTGGTAATTATTGCAAATTATATGGCACTCGGAGCATTTGTGTATAAATGCCAATGGATACATACCCATACATACATATATATTTATACGAGTATACACGAGGATTGCAGTCATGCCAATCGAAAATACTTGAATACGGCAAAGGAATGCGGCAAAAAGGGAGGAAGAGCGAAAAAATATTATTCAATTACGCGTCATATCCAGGACAATGGTTACGACGAGCATAAAAGCCGCCTTCCCATAAATACCCAAAGTCCGCCTTTTGCAGTCGGCTTCCACTGTGACGGCCGTAAATTGAGGTAATAACATTCGAGAATACTCATAATAGTTTCGTCCCTTATGCGAGTGTTTCAACTTTGATTTTCGGAATTAAATCAATGTATAAATGGCTGGCAATCGCATCGCATTCCATCGTGGAAAAAAGAAAAACACAATGCCACGACATTTCCGAAAACTCTTTGATTTATTTCCGCCTAGGCACATTCCTCTGATTGACTAGAAAAATCAATAGAATCCTTATGCCCACACTTCCAATTAGCTGGGACTTTCTCTTCCCCCTTGGAGGGACTTTCACCTGAGGGTTGGACTGCATTGATAAAACAGCCGCCGCCTGCCCAGGTCATCGCCTGAAGGAAATTTACATAAAATTCAAATAAAATAAAACGACAAACGTAATAATCATTAGTCGGCTCTCCTGGGTGCAGTCGGCGCTGGACACTGGACTCTGGGCGTAAGGTGCCTGCATCTGGGAGGTGGAAGATGGTGGTTGGGTGAAGGAAGCTGACTTATTTATGGAGTTTCCATGTTAACGAGCCACTCGTAGTAAATTAATTTAGTCCCTGATAAATATTACCTATGGGTAGGCCATAAATTCGAAACACTTTAAGATAAACTTTAAGATGATTTTCTTACAGTTCTATAAGTTGTTTTTAGTAAAGTTCCTGTTATAGATTAATATTATAAAAAGCCTTACTTATTAATATCCAATCCACTCCTGCAGTGCAATCTTCTGCTGTTCGATTTGCTCGCCCATCTTCTGGGTCATGGCGAACTGAATGAGGATAAGCAGATAGTTGACCAGGATCGATGTGAACTGTTCAAAAGTAAAATAGTTAAATTATTTCTTTAAGAATTCCGAACTTAACCCACCAGGCCAATTATCTTGCGGTTGAGAACAACATCCATGCCACCGGTAAACTGAATCTTGGCCTGCAACCTCCAAGCCATCAAAGATTCCACTAAAGGTCGCATCGAGTTCTTCTCGGGAAACCAATTGTCCAGCTGCTCGACGAGGCGAAGACAGTTTCCTTGCCTCACGAATGGTTCGATCGCAGTAGAAAGGTGCAATCAGGAGCTTGTAGAGCGGTGGCAGCATGCAAAGAGCAATATATCCCAGCATTCGAAAGCTTGTGATTCTTTCCTCATTGTCCTCATCCTGCTGGACGCCTCCACCTATTCCCACGGACTGGCCAAACAAGATGTACAGCTCACTGGTGCTCATGGCCAGGTCATGGGCCATGGCTAACCACAGGCTAAAGGCGTACACCCTATTGATCTCCTGGACTAGCTGGTGCAGCTCCTGGATCATAGACACCACCTGGCGTATACGTATTTCTCGAACATTCATCTGGGGAAAGCGCCATTTCAGAAACTCCGGGCTAAGCATTTGCTGCAACAACCGGAAACGTATGCCCAGCATCTCGGCCAGAGTCATGTGCACATAACCAGTGAAATGAGGTCCTCCCGTGACTATTGTATAGCACAAGGCAAAAAGCAGAAAGAGAGCTCGGTGACCATTGCCCACTAGGATGGCGGCACTGTTAATGGCCACCATATATATTAGGGAGACCAGTCCAAGCACAACAATGTTCTTCCTCATCATCTTTCTATAGTTAAGGTTGGCTCCAAAGTGGCTTACAAGCCTGTCATCCAGGGCAGCCAATCTTAGATAGATTCCCAAATGTTGGCGTGCAGATATTTGCAGGGACAATACAGTGCCCAAGAAGACCAAGGTGGACATGACCAACTCCAAAACTGAAATACTCAGCACAAGATTGTCGGCCTTTTCAATGCGCTCTTTTAAATCCTCAGCTGCTAGAAGGGCCAGCAAGGAACCAAAAAGACCGAATAGGGCGAAAATGGCCACCGAGAGGGAGTATATCCTTCTCCAGAGGTTGATCTTGAATCGCGACCCTATAACACTGAATCCATTGCAGCCCATAATGAACTGCAAACAGCAAATGAAACCAGCACAGTCGAATATTGTTTTCGGTTCACGGAAGAAATACAACACGGCCATCGTGCCAGATTTCTGGTTGAGAACTGATGGCACTTTCATAGGGAAACGCTTGCTCAGATATTAGCCATATGATTATTTACAAAAATCTGAAAAAAGGCATACCCTTACCAAGAGGTTCAAAGGTACACTCAAAAAAAAGAGGAGCGAATAAATACTTTAAAATATTTAGTTAGTTTAAAAACTATTATAATTATAAAAAGTAAAGTAAAAGTTCTTTAAAAGAAGTTTCTTTTTTTCTTCAGAAAATGTTCAAATAATATTTCTGGCTTACAAGTTCTCACAGAAATCAAGAACAGGTATATAAACTTGCCAATATTTGAATTTTATTTCACAATTAATCAATATAAATATTATATATATAGTTTTTATATGTTAGAAAGTTCATAAATTTGTGATATTAGAGGTGTAAATTATAAATATGCTTTTTGGTAACCTTCACCAATGGCTTATAACCATTAAAGTAATATAGTAATTACTTAGATTACTTTTGCGATAACTTTTGACAAGTGCTTTTCCCAATTTATGGACAATTTCCCTTTACCAATAACCTGCGGTATGCAGTCTGTGTAAACGCGGTAAACACAATAAACATGTTTTGAACATAAACAAGAAGGAACCTTCTATTGGAAACTTCCGACTGCCAGGCAATCACTGTTCAAATACAGAAAGTGCTGCAGTAACTAGATATGCCATAACCCTTGGCTTCCTTTTGCGGTTTCTGAGAAAAATGAAATAAAATGGCTTCATTTCGATAAAATATATAAATCAACTGTAACGCATTAAAAACATTTACCAGGATAAACTAAAAGTAACAAAAACTGTCTAACAATTTAATTGAAAAGTTGAATTTCAATTTAATTGGTTTGGCAGCCAGTGACTAGTTTTGTAAATTTGGAAAAATTATATAAACTGGTGAAAATGCGAGTAATTTAATTTCAGCATCCTGCGAGAAAGAAGTGGAAAAGCTGTCGGATTAAAGACCAAAATCCAAGGGATTATGGCCAAGCTGGAAAAGTTGTTAATGCCCGGTGACAGAGCTCAACCCTTCGATCTGGGACATTTCACAGATATATATAGTATGAAATGATTTACAGCTTTCCAAGGAAGGTGAAATTAACAGAAATGTGGACCAGCGATGGAAGGTGGCGGCATTTTGTTGTCTTTAATTAATAAAACTTGATTAACGGAAATTTTATGATTGTCCAAACGGTAGCAGGTGGCAATCAATCATCGCCTTCGCACGGCGACTCTCACTTCTGTTAATTATTTTGCATTAAATATTTATGAAATTCCCTACCAAAAAAAAAAAAAGAAGAAAGTTACGCAGCCGCCGCCAAGGGACAATTCAGCTGGGAAGAAGTGTAAAATTAATTAGGCTGTGTCCGGATGGAAAAACGTCAAATGGTTGCAAATGACAAGCAAACGGAATGGAGTCAGTTAATAAATTGTTTGCTGCACCATTGTGGTTCACTGCACAGGCATAAATAAATTCGAACAGGGAATTATTTATGCGCAACTGTTGATTTTCTGGCTGATTAACCTCTGGGAACTTAACTAGGAAACAAATGGGATAAATAATCGCCCGAATGATGCTCAAATACCCTGCATATCAGTTAATGGTAACTATTTACCCAACATAGTCCCTTTAATTACTGCATAGCAGAGTATCCACTGGTAATTAGTATTTTTGCAAATTGTATTTATTATTTATCGCCTTCCAGCCGAACGCACAGCCAGTAACATATGCATCCACATTTGCATTAACAATGGCAATTACCAAAACCAATCGGATCCAATTGAATTAAATTGACTTGGCTCAAGGGCCGTGGACCAGTGCTTTTTAGGGCTAGCAGCCTTCCACCCATTTCCTGCCATTTGTCCTTGTCACTCGGCAACTCCTTCCTTTTTCACACACACATCCTGACTGACAGCCTGGCTGACTGGCTGATGGACCGCCTGATTGACTCACTGAAATGTCCAAAAGTAAAACAACACCGAATCACAAAAAAGGGAAATCAAATCTCTGTCCATATGGATTCAATTAACGCTAATTTAAAATGCCAACATATCTCCCGAAAATGGGAAAAATGGTAAATTTCCAGTCAGTTTTCCACATGACCCCCATCAAAATTTTCTTGTCGGCGGTTCGACTTTGACACTCCAAAGGGCAAAATCGGCAACAACAGAAGGGACAACCTTTCCTTGACACTAAAAACATCTTTTGATTGAGGGCAATAAGTGAGCCAAATCAAATTTAGATGTTCGAATGTGTTAAAAATGTTTATCAAAAAGCTAGACAGAAGTATTCTGGGAATTATGGAGCTGTTGAATATTTTTTATAAATATTATTAGAAGAAATATAAATTATTAAAGGAGAAAATTGAGCTTTTCAAGCTTAAATCTTGTTTTTTTTATATTATAATATTTAGTTCTTAGACATAACCTTTGCCTTTATCAGTTTAAAAGATGGCAGCCAAGTGGGTTTGGTGAGAAACTCATTTGTAGGCACTTGCTCGACTGAGTGCGTCCTAATGCCGCTCACAATTAAATTAAATAACACCATAATTAATTACTGGCCCACGCACACACTTCCACTCACAGGCCTTGATTTGCTGGCCAAGAAGGTGCTAATGTCCTGGCCCATTCATTGTGCCATGCGTCGTGGTGTGCGTGAGTGAAATAAAGAATGATTTATGACGGTAAGCTAACTAACGTTCTGTTCAAGTCCCCCAAGCGGACCGACCACGCATGTTCTTGTTCTCACAATTAGACGCTGACCCCCTCCTCAAAGTTGGTTAAAACCGGGGGGATAGGTGGTGCTACCCCTTCGAGGAGCCATAAATCGCATGGCATAAATAAAACGAGCAGGATCACAATGGAGCCATCAACTTTTGATGCAACTTATAACCGTATTTGGCCATAACGGCGCCAATGGGCCTGCATTGATTGGATATATCGAGCATCCTTAAGCGGCAGCCCATCAACCGCTCGAATGTCCGCCCATCAAGGAGCAGTGATAACAGGCAAGCCCTCAGTCCTCCGGTTCTCCTGCACACAAAGGCGTTTAATGTTAACGAGCAAATGGCCCTGGTATAAGTGCACTCCTTTCCTGACGCTTTTATAAATTGTGTTATGCATAAACTTTATGCGAACGTAATATAGATATATATATATTTTGTATATATATATTATGTTTATAGTCAAGGGTTATCATCGCGGCTGCTTTATCTCGCACAGCTGCTGAAATATGCGCCTGTTCCTTTGCTTCGCTATCTTTGCACCATCTCTCTTTCCGCGCTGCAAGTTCATTTGACGCGATTCTCATCCGCATCCTCATCCTCATCCCCATCCTCCTGCTGCACACCATAAAACCCACTCAGCCGTGCCACATAAAACCAGCAAAAAACGATGAAATTATGGTGCCTGCTCATTGTGTTGCAGCTTCTCACCTCATGCACTGAATCTCGAAGTTGCACAGATGCCCTGCATTCCATTCCATTCCAGATTTGAAGGAGGTTCTCCTTCTTGGGTGTATATTAGTTCATATTATCCGAAATATTCCCACCAGGGTTGCGGCTTAGCCGGTGTAATTACAATGGAGAGGGGCACTTAAGTACAGAGAGAAAAAATAACTTTGTCCTGCTTTATCATGTCTCATTGCAATGCTGTGATACCCTATATAATGTAGTACTTCTCTGATCTTTTTCTATAATCATTATACTTGCACTTGCAACAAAATAGTAAAGCTATCATAAACTAAATCCTAATGAGGGTTAACTTGGTATAACCAATTTTTAATTGCATGAAATCAGATACTCGGCGCTTGCAACGGAGGTCTGGAAAGATCGGTGATGGCCTTCCAATCACGAAGAGATGCTTTCAGGGCAGGCAATCCGATTACGTTCCCAGGGAAACAGCAACTTTGCTTGCCACATGACGACTTGTCGGTTCAGTTGCTGGTTTTGGTGCTCGAGCTGAAGCTGGAGCCCGACGTGCGTCAGAACTGATTAATGAGCTGCAAATGATGTTATGCGCAACGCCCGCTGCTAGGGCGTAAATCAGAAATAATCGGGCATGCCCAAGGAGTGGATGCAGTGGAGGGCTACTATAGAGGTCTATATATATTGTAGGGTGGATGGGATGGCAGGCGCTTCATAATGTTGCTAATGAATAGTGTTGATGTGGCATTGTTCGCGTGCGCAGACAGCTCGGCATTCATCGGATGCGTTTCACTTGTTGCCCAGCAGCAGCTGCTTTGCCTTGACACTTTCAGTGTCCACTAAAAATAAAGAGTGGCGAGGGGGCGGGGGCTCTTCCACTCCCACTCCCATTATATCTTTGGCATTTAAACTTGCTCAGGGGGAATAGAAAGCCAGAAACTTCCCCGACAATTGGCAGATGTCAGCTTTAAGCCATTTTAAAAAGCAAATGTCTGACAAAGCTGCAACTAAAACTTTTTATGCCCCACTTTGCCCGGCTATTCACAACTTGTACGTGGCAAATAAAAGTGCACCCGGGGACCGACTGCGTATCGCTTGCCAAATGGGATAGACAACACTCCCTTCCTGGGTCTCAGGGTCTGAGTCTGAATCTGATTCTGAATCTGGTTTGGCCTGGAAACAGATTTAAGTATGCAGTTGTAAGCCATAAAATCAGCTTAATACTTCCGTTGAGCCACGAAATCTGAATTTATAGTCAACACGAGGAGGGTACGCAAAAGAGAAAGTTATGTTCAAGGATTCGATACGGAGAATACCTTATTGACTCATTTTATGGTTTATTTTTAAGGATTATATGAATATGATAACATTTAAGTAGGTAAAATTTGATTTGAAATATAACTTTGATATGATATAAAGTCTGTTTAATAATATAAAATGTATTACAAATGCCTTTTAATATAATAGGGTATCAAGGGAAATAACTAGTTAATAAAACGTCAGATACCAAGGAGAAATGGGTTACATAACCCGTGTTTTTGGGTCTCCTTAGCATGAAACACCTTGTGTCACGGTTCGATTAGCAGGTCATCTGGTCACAAGAATCTCTGTTATTGTTGTTCCATCTTGGAGATATTTACATATATACCCACTGACGACCTCACATCAAGATTGCTTTCGCCTTCGTTGCTCTGCTCATTTGCCAAGTTTCCATATTCATATTCAACCAAAGTGAAAGTGCTTGATGAGCAAAAGAAAAAAAAATAAAGAAATCTGCCTGCTTAGGGGAGTATCGAGGCATAAGCATATGTGTACATGTGGAATGACTGATTGCCTGTCTTGCCAGTGATTAGTGCTTATGCAAATGAGTTCTAAAGACCTGGCCCAGCCATAAATATAAATCAATGCTGAGGTCGAGGCAAGGCAAGTTCCCTGGAGCAAGATGAGCAGCAGCATCCACAAGTGGACGAGGCTACTCTTGATAGGCCTGATTGTGTTTTTGAATTACTCATATAGTTTCAGTCCCATGGGTAGATATATAATGATCTAACCAAAATTATAACATAAACTAATGAATTTTCTGTCCTCATTTAGCCAGGCAGTTGAAATTGCGACCTCTCAGGCCTGCAGAGATTCGAGAATTGGAAAATTCTCTCTCGAAGGGGCGATCTGTATCCAGTGGCTTTGCTGCCGTCACAGGTTTCGCCCTAGGCTTAGGAAAAGCTCTAACTGGGGTCTTCATCTATGATGTCATTACAGCCAATATCACAGAGGCTGAGGAGACAAATGTTTCAGCGAATACTGGATCGGTTAGAGAGATCTGCTTTAACGCTGGCAGTTCTAATTCAGATATAACTTGTCTGGTTTACTATGGTAATAACTGAAGTTAATGCATTTTATTCTAAAAAATATTAAGAATAACTAAAAGTAATATTTATATGAGACAAAATTATAACAAATTAATCATTAAAACCGATCAGCGAGATATTGTTGGAAAAATTGATCGGATTTTTCTTGTCATACGATTATTAAGAGAACAAAAACCTTTAAAAACCTACTATATTTATACGAAATAGGCACGAGTATGGTTACAAATTAGTCTAATTAATAAACCTCATAAAACCAGTTTGGGGTCGCAGCCCAGTCAGGGGTTCAATTAGTTTATTTTCTGCGGAATTTTGGGGATTTGCATATGCAAAACTAGAAACTTTCTTTGGCTTCTCGTCACAGATAAAAGTGAAGGAGAACCCGTGGGCTGTTTCAGTTGGATTTCTACGCGATTACGCGAAAGATCGTCTACAAGATGAAGTCGTTCGGGAATTTGACCTTTGGCCTTTTCATCATCCTCATCGCCTGTATTAGTGCAGGTGTCGAAGGTGAGTTGCGAAAGTGGAAATACTCAAGGATAGGAATTAAGCTGTATAATTGGACTACAAGTTTGAGACCTAAAAACCCGGTTCTGGTAATCATCTTTAGGTCGTCGCCTAGCTCTTCGCCCTTTGACCGGAAGGGAACTTCGGAGGGCTCTGAGGGAATCCGGAATAGGTGACGATTCTGAAGCTGGAAAATCGCTAGCCTCAGCCCTGTCAGGACTCAGTGGATTTGCCCTTGGTATTACAAAAGGAATTGGCGGCTCGATTCTGTTTGATGTGGTCACCTCGAATGTGACGATTGATTACCTCACCAGTCTGCTGAACTCCACCGCCTCCTCAACCACTTCGAGCAGCAGTGGAACCGCCCAGGAGATCTGCTTCAATAGTCGCAGTGTCGACGGCGAGATCATTAAGGGAAGGAGCAATGACAATTACGAAATCGATGATGGGGCAGAGCCATCTGGCGAGTGGAGGCAGACCACTTCTACTACGACTCCTACTACTACTACTACTACTGCTAGCAGTGGTTCTAGTTCCAGCAATGGAGTAACCTGCATAGTCCTGAGCTCAAAGGGATCTCGTCGCCGACGTCAGTTGCAGATTCGAGCGGGAACCTTAAGATCTGCCAACCCAAAACGCCGTAGATCCCATCGCCAGACTTTGAAAAAGTACCGCAGGCATAGGGTTTAATAAGGAAAACTTGGCCCTTACTTTAAGATAACTTAACTTTAACATATTTATTGACTTCGATTAGTTTATTAAATTTTAATTGTTCCGCATTCCATGGGTCTGGGTGGGCTGCCTTTATTAATGGTCGGATGACTTGGGGAAATCTTGGATTGACACATTTTATGATTTGCTGACATGCACTCTGGTCTGTGCCCTGAAATCATTTTACAGGAAAGTAGACTCGCCTACGAGAAACAAACATTCATATGTGACACACGCGCAGGCAGTGAGAGAAAAGGGGGCATGGTTTCTTAAGACTACTCACATGAGTGGCCCAGAAAACTTTATAAAGAAATCGGAAATATACCATAAATGCCAGCATTTTCTCTTAGTGTATCCATTTGCAGAGTCACGCATATCGCGGTGGCAGAATGGTTATTAATACAAACAGAAAGGCACGCAGCATGGCACTCCCACTCCGAGTCCACATCGTCCTTTTACCCCCATCACCTTGCCTTCGGTCCTTATGTAAACATTGAAATGTCATTGCCGTCGAGGGCAGCGGCCCGGCCACATAAATCCTCCTTGGCCACAATTTATTAACTTTAACACTAACCAATGTCAACGGCATCCCCTGCCCTTTACTTATTGATTTGGATGCGAAATTTATGTGGTTAAAAGGACCTCCATCCAGGACTTTGCCCACCCAACTATTAACTTCGAATCTTCTTTCACGGCGAGTAAATTGCAGTGTTTATGTTATTGTCTGATCTTTGACTCGGGAGCTGTGTCTGTCACAGCTTGGCCAGGAATTGCATTAGGGAACATTTATTATTTATGTTAATGCCCGGAAAGTTCTGACATGGCCTGGAAAAGAGGGCCAGTGATTAAAGTGCGGCAAATAGAAGAGGCAAACTATTCCTCGAAGAAAATCAAACTCGAATTACCATATCTCTGCCTCTTCAAACGGCCATTGAGACTTTCTTCGGGGTGTACATATGCTATGAACAGTCGAACATCGCTAAAATGAACTAAAGTTTAATGAAGGAAACATTCTTGTTGTCATAATCCTGTCTACATTTTAAGGATATTTCTTTGTTCTTCATTAAACATGGAAATACGTTTTAGGGAACAGAAAAATCCTTCTTAAGGAAAACCGCCTGTATGTTTGTATATTCATGAGCGAATCAGCAGCAAAACTACAATTATTGTGCACTTTAGCATCGGAGAGAAAGCCAGCTTAATGACCGAGGCCATGACCCCAGAAGGGCAGTTTTTCCCCCCAGCCAGCCTTCGGCTGGAATTGCGTACTAAATGCGCTAAATTACTAACTAAATGCCGCAAGTGCCGCCCCTGGGCATGGCTAGAATTTCACAAATGAACGCCCTTTTTCGGGTTAGCAGGGGGTGGAAAATGGCCAGAGGGGTGTTTTTTTTCGGTATTACCAAAGCCGAAAAACTGAAGTCAAAGCGAAAACGAAAGCGAAAGCCAGAAACTGCCGACAGTCGATGACATTTGAGCGATAAGAGAAACTGTTGTGTGGCTTACTTGGTGGCTCCCCCAGTGATTTTCCATACTACTATTTGAGGGGGGCAGGTCAGAGGTCGTGGGTGAATGTGCTGCTCCTTGTGGCTCTTGTTGCTGTTGGCATTAAGTATGCAGGCGTGTGAATTGTGAGGGAGGAAATACAAATAATAAATGCTCCAACCGCTTTTTGCAGGCATTTTTACAGTTGCTTTTTACAACATTGAAAATTGTTTTAAATGTTAATGTTGATGCTGTTGGCCTGATAATAAAATCGGTCGGGAAAGTCGTGGAAACAGTGGGAGTGGCGTGCCAAAGTCAACAAATAATTGAGATGTTTTGCCGGGGGCCGGGGGCGTGGTCTGTGCTTCCTGGGTGTCGTCGTCACACACGCTTTTCCACCCACATGCCACCCACTCCCCGGTGGTAGAGAGTCAGCTGTGAAGAGTGCGAGGCGCGCACTTGTGTTAAATTATGCGGGTTTGATTTTTATTGCACTGCCGCTCATTTCTTTTTTCCCTTTTTTTCCTGTTTTGTTTTCCTTGGTTTGGTTTCCTTTGTTTTATAGGTTTTCCCCGAAGAGACCGGGTGCCGGCGCTCATACCCACACCCGAAATCAAAATCATCTCGAAAGTATAAACAAGTCGGAGGACCGGAGGATGGAATGACGAGCACGCGTGTGTGTGCGGCTGTAATTTGGTCATGCCTCGTTGCCCCAACGAGCTGTTGCTTGGCATTTCAATTAATGGCACTTGCCACCCTCGTATCTCCCATGCCACTTCTGCCCTCCAAGGGGTCATCTCTGCCGCCGCTGCACTCCTAATGAACCCATCCCCAGCTCCAGCTACAGCAGATATCCAGCCACAACTCAAACTCTCCCTGCGAAAAAACAGGAAGGTTTTGCCACTTTTGGTTTGCTGTCAACAGGAGCTGAGATATGTCTTTTTACACTGAAAAAAAAAATGTTTGGCTTGTTAAAAATTATATCAAGAAGTGCGTTAAGGAGATAATATAACATATTGGATATGATATGCTTATTATTAAAGGAATATAAAACCACAAACTCTACTGTCAGACTGTTCCATTCCGTTTCTCTGCGTGCATGATTGCAACTCCGCGACGACACGTGACCACAGGGACATTTATTGAGTCTGAATATGCCGCATCGCACGTCTTAATAGATTTTTGATTTGTTTGCTCACCCTCAACCTCCAACCCTCAACCCCCAACTGAACCCCTATACCGGATCCATAACCGAATCCAAATCCAATTGTGAGTCGCGCGTGCGTCTCTGATTGGAATAATGATTTCGCAAACGAAGACAGATTTTTCGAATTTTTGGGGAGTAACTTGTTTGTCAATATAGAAAATCGATCGATGAGGAGTGATTCCTTTTGTTTTTTTTCTTAGTGACTTACCCTTACTTAAAGCAGACGGGTAATTCAATGAAGAAATCACGCAATAATGGAAGGAAGTAGGTGAAATTAAACGCTCAAGGCCCCGAGAAGGAGGATTAAGAGCGAGACCTGAAAGTTTGTCTGTTTCTTTTATTACTGAAAATGGCGATGAAAATGGTGAAGGGAATGGGATGGTATTGGGCAACATTTTACAAATTGTTTCAATTAAAAAGTTTACTGATTTTGCTTTTTCGCCTTTTACTTTATCTATAATCGGCTTGCGATTGACACGTGCCCCCAGAAAGCCGCCCCCCAATTTATGGTCGGTCTATCGAATGGCAGTAATCGCTTTTGGGGGGAGCTAATTGCGGCGACCTTGGCTGTGGGGTATTTATAAGTCCCGCAAGTTGATTGCATAATACTCCGTATCGCCAGACTTTCTCGTAAGCTGGGAAAGCCAAAAGCTGGGCCAATTAATTAAATATAATCAGCAGAATAAAGTTCTGGCCAATCTGCAAAAATATATTTCACAGTCGCTAATTAATTTAATTGATTTAAACGCTTTGGCTTGACCAGTCGCTGGGTGATAGCGCGGGGTGTTGGCTATCGAATGCATTTGATCTGTTTGTTTGTTCAAAATTAAATTGACTTGTAATTAAAAGTTTCGCAATTGATTGAAATTCTCGTGTGTGCTTTTCCTTTGTGTACGCGGGTGTGGGTGTGGGAAGAAGGGAAGTGGAAGTGAAAAAAGCGGCTAATTACGAGAATTAATTAAAAATGCATTTTTTGTTGGTCAATTGAACTGCTCGGAACTTAGAACTGAAACAAGTTTCAAACGTGGGAAGTTTTCTCTTTAACTGGGGTGAGTATAAGAGAGCGGCTGAAACTCTTATACGCTATCTTAACTGACCTACGGCAGGGATATATTCATTTGGTTTTTCTCATTGTTCAATAGATTAAGATATTGATAAGAAATATATATTGAAATATTGGGAAAATTGTATTTACTTATATTAACTAAAAAAGCAGCTACTTCCCATTTCCTTCTATGTTATGTTAGGAAAATATTGAAAATACATACAAAAAAAATGATTTATCAAATTTGATATTTTTTGTACTTAAGTGATACAAATAATAATGGACAAATACCTCAAAATATTTTATTTATTTATTAAAAAATAATCTAGAAATAGTCTATCAAAGTGCTAAGCAGGTATTTCATTTTTCCTAAATCCTTGGTGATTTCAGCAGTTCAAGTAAATATTAAAAACTGCCGGTCCCAAAATATTTCATTAACATAATTAAAAGCATAGGAAATTAAAACCTTGCCAAAGCTAATGAAATCAATCACCCAAAAGTTACATATTGAGCGATGTAAAACAAATATTTAATTTTAAACCATATTAAAACCCACTCTGAAAGTTAAACATGTGAAAATTAGCAGAGGAAAATAAAAATAAAGAATTATTAACAAATATTTGAATGCAGACGCAATAACGAGTGACTGCCTGGCAATGCACTTGCAATAAACAAACAAAGAGTCTTAATAGCTCCACTCCAAAGTTGCTTGGCAATTTCGTGCTCCAATAACCCGGCGAAAGAGAGGCCCTTTCTTCAGGCAAACTCTCTTCTCTTAGCCCTAAAAACGAACCAGAAAACGATGCTGCCGATGTGTGCCGAATCCGAGGCATTCGTCATATGGCAGTGGCAACACGACCTCCGATTACCAGTCAGTTTCATCCTGCGACTCGAAAGCGAAGCACGCGTTTCTTGATTTATGTGCGCGAGTTCTAGTCAGACCAAAGAATTCTCAGACATATATTTGTGGTTGTTGTGAAAGGAGAAGGAGAGTTCCGAAAAAGACCGGGCCTAATGAGTCTACAGGCCTGCGTGTTAATGGCGAATTAATGACGGGCGATTAAAATGCAATGGCCACATGCATAGCCGCCATAATGAGCTGAACCGACCGACACAGTACAGAGTGAAACGAAACTAGTGCTATAAATTACAGTTCCCCTAAAACAAAAAGTGTTGCCTACTTAGCGGCTTTTGGGCTTACGATCTGTTTGAAGTGTTCGGAGTCCGTTAAAACCTTTTACCCGCCCCCCAAACCGAAAAGTAAATTGTTGTGTAAAACTCAATCCACTGAAGATTAAAAAAGACCCTCCCAAAAAAAAAAAGAAGGGAAA